ACTCCTAAAAAAGAATTGAACGAGACGAAAAGTTTGAAAAACTCAGCCATGAGTAAACTAAAACAAAAATATTGACATATATTGACATACGTTATTTTAAATGACTCAGACTGAAAAAAATCACCGTGCAAAGAGAAAAGTTCACCTCGATTTGAGAAGTTTGTACATTGGTTCGAAGTGATATCTGATAGGTGATGGGTCGGTTTCGGCTTCCTTCATAAATTTGTTGATTTGCTCTTCTTTAAGCTCACCCGACAACTCTGCTCTTGTATCTGATTTACCACCTCGGACAACTAATTTTTTTGTCATTTCTTGAGAAGAGGATTTCTCGAYGTCCTTTTTAGTCACTCCCGAACAAGCAGAGACCCCAACTTTTCCTGCTTGCGTAGGACCAGCTAATGACACGCAGGCCTTGACAGTGAAATCKTTCTGGCTGAACTTYTTGTCAGATTTGGCAAACACATATTGATAGATACTGGAGCCTGAGATTGATTCTTTARCAAAATGGGATCCGTACTTCTCTAAAAATACCTTGTACTCTTTCCATGAAGACTTCAACCATGGTTTTTTAATTTCCATTGGAAGAGMTTCAAAGGCCTCCACGAGATCTTTAACGAGGGGTTTCTTGTTAATGCAGTCTTTCTTGAGCGCAGATGACAAGCTATAAGCGACGAGATTAAGCGACAGACCTTGCACTTCGGTTTCTGATGAGGCCATATTGTTTGTTACGGCTTCTATCGACGCMTCAAGACTGTATGCRCCCTCCATACTTGCATCAACCTTTGTGTTASTTGAGATGGATYGGAAAAGTGACTTTGTACTKCTGTAGAATGAGTCATCTTTTTGGATTTGACCAAGTTTATCGCTTACCACACATTCGTCTATTGGAAGGTCCTCAAAGATTTTTGCACCGGTTGCTTTGAGTTGCTTGGTTAGTAAATCAAATTTKTGGATTTCAAATCCTTGACCAAGGGCTCCTCTTGAAGTGGCGGAAGGTTCGGCTTTGATTTCTAYTTTCTCTKGTTTTTCTTCCTCAGAATCAGATTCTGGGYGGTCGTTGGGATCTTTTTCGATTCGGCCWCGTCGTGCTTCTACCAAGAAGACTATTAGCAACAGAATAATTGCAAACTTTGGACTCATAATGGTTCCMAGAAGAAACTAAAATCAAAGAAGACGATTTTTTTAGTTCAGTTATCATTTACCTAATATATAACGAAACTTAAGATAAAGCAAAATTATTAGAAAGGTCATATTTTGTAGTTTTAACATAAATTGTTTTCAATGGTTCATAGTATTGTCGGCATTGGAGGCCAGAACGAGAGTATCACTGACTGGACTAGTTTCACTCAATAACCACTTAAAATGACGAGAAAATGGCCAACAAGATGTCTCGTTCATAGGAATCGACATCTTCTTCCAAGACCTCTGGCCACTCTGTAAACGAAAACAACTTAAAGGCACAGGCAAGGTAAAAAGGTGTTTGTCAACTAAATCAGTTAATTAAATGAAAAACATTCAAAGCTAATCCACTCTAAAAAGCGACTGGTAAACCAAGGCTTCAAAGTCAAACCGCCGGGCCCTAACCGACTTTCAAGAGAAGAAAATAACCACGAATAGATAAGAACTTATCAATTGAATATTTAGCTTCAAAGATTTCTATAGTGTATCATTGTATTTATATTTACATAATTCAATCTAAGAGATAGTCAAATTATTTTATATATATAGACTTAAATTGCTAAGTTATTTAWCGAGCGTTCATCATAATAACTTTAGTTTACATAATTCCTAGACAGATTTTAGTTYTAATAAACAGTTTACCATCGTTTTCAGACAGAGTACCGTATTCTGTGAGGTGTAGTAGCTATTGTTCACTCCTACAACATGGACGCCTTTTCTATGATCGATGTTACTATGATCTGTTAATATGACCTAACCCTAACCATTATATRTCCCTCAAGTKTTCCGTGTCTTAGTGCTATTGGTTTACTAAATCAATCGTAAGGTAGTACACTGTCTATTAGACAAAGGTTAAGTGGTGGGTTGGGTCAATAGACCTAATCGGCTGACGCGTTGCCTATGTACGTTACCACCCAATTCAAATCCTATGGGAAAAAAGAACTTTTAGCGTTTGAATTTTTGAATTTTTGAATTCAACTGTGAAATGAAAATGCAATGAAGAAGAATAAAACTTGGGTTGAAACGTTATGGCAACGCTTTAGCCGATTAAGTCTATTAATAGATGACCGGTCAAACGCGGGTTCCTCAACAACAGAAACCTGAATGCTAAATTACATAGCCACAGAATAACAGAGACGAAGTGCAGTAAAAATTACGTACCTTTGAATGTATGGCATGGGCAGAATAGAATAATAGAATACAATACAATACAATAGTTTATTTCTCTCTTCAAATGTTGTTACAGTTTTTGCATTGTATTAGGTATATGTATATCAGGTGAAAAGTGTCTTATAAATTTAAGTTTTCCTAATTTGGTATAAATGAGACAAAGGACTAACTTAATCACATCCCGTTCCCACAGAAAGATCTATGGAAAATGAACAGCTAAAGACGGCTATTGAAGTGTATTGCTAAATATTTGATATTAGAGGCATACCAGTTCTATACCAGCATTTTCGGCGTTATTATCTGTCATGTTATGGCTGTCAGAAAATATCCATTGATTCTTATGTTGTCGTTTTACTCCTTTCTGATAGCTTTTATTTCATTGTATATGATGATATCAAAAATATAGTAGAACTGAGCACACGGCCGTACTCTAAATTTGTTGATTAAATAAGAGTTATTTAAAACGTTAAGCAATCAATTGCTTTATTATCACTTGAGGGTGGCGGAACCTATCCAAAGGGAATTTAATTTCCATAGAGAGACGCCCACCACCGCTTTCCAGCCAATCAGCTTTGGTTATTYTCGGTCATCACAGGGAATTATTCACATGATATTCATATGATAATGATATGGGCAGGGGTTTCAATAAATTTTCAAGCAAGTGGCCGAGTTGTAAAAGTAGCCGACTACAGAATGAAATTGAGGCAGATTTGTTACCAGTCTCACTCTACTTATCGTTTCAAGATGGCGCACAGCTAGTGCTGAAGTTTGCAATTCTTGAAGCAAAGCAATTGATTTTGAGGAAAAATGTAGACTTTTTTAAAATATTAAGGTAGAATATGAAGATTCTGACTAAAAGGTAAAATTTGAACATGACATGGGAAAAGTAACCGGCTCAAATGTCTAAAAAGACGCCGRAATTCGCCGTGCAACCTATCAGCTCTCATGTCATAATCAGTACTCTGTAAATATGTGAAGTCAATTTAATTTCGGCGTTTTCAAAGCGAGTAAGGGTGGTGACTTTACGAAAAGAAAAGTTCTGAGGTTCTTTCCGATAAAGACTAATTAATTCGACCTGTGAACTTGGTGCCATTTACACAATGGAGATAGCAGTCAACGAGTTCAAAGCGTGGATATAATGTGCGCTGTGTCTATATGGTCGGTTACCGGTCAAGGTCTTGAAAATGCTAAATGACCGGCAGCCCATAAAATGTGTTTTTCCCTCTCTTATTATCTAAACGAGCTTCCAAACTCCAAAATAAAGCTCTACGAGTAAAATGAGTGTGTTAAAACTTACATAAACGTCGCCCCGAAATTCGTTGCACTTAGAGACATTGTGCGAACTTGAACCCATGTGAACCGACTGYCGGCCACGCAACAACGAAATCCTAAAAAAATGGCCTGCAGCTCATAAAATAACAAATTTCTCTTTTAATATTCTTATTTAAAGAGTTAAAACAACATAATCAACATTTCTGAAACTTTCATGGTACTGTAGAGTCATTTTTCTATTCGAGAAAAATCTCAACCAGCACGGCGGCCTGACAGTCACGCAACATCAAAATCCTAAATGACCGGCAGATTGAGATTTTTTTATTAAAAATATCGTCAAGATGTCCACCAAATCAAAAGCATAATTGCGGTGATTAAATGAGAATTTTTAAAAAAGTAAATTTAAATTCCATAGGTAGACGCCCACCATCTCTTTCCAGCCAATCATATAGGTATAATAGGTATAATATAGGTATTTTAAAGATAGTATATGATAAATACATATATTCTTTGAAATACAGCCTTTTGCACAAATTATGAGACATTTTTATATATATAAATATACCTAACCAAATATCAAAAACACCCAAGAAATTATGGGATACCGTCGCTGATATTTTGTCTGTAACAACCTGATGCTAGGCAATCATGACAAAATATAATAGAGATATACCATAATTTCTGGGGTGTTTTTGATATTTGGTTAGGTATATTTATATATATAAAAATGTCTCATAATTTGTGCAAAAGGCTGTAAGAATATTAATTTACAAATACAGATAGAAACAAGACCTTAAAAAAACACTATCTAGCTTCTCATTATCTTTGAATCAACACCTATTGCTTTCTTGTTGTCTTGTTACGGCTATCAACGATTAACCATGTTTGTTCGATTGTATTAAACCTCCTTATACTACAGGCTGATATTCAGCTACAATACCACTTCACTTCCAAATAGCCGATTTGCGAATTTCGCTCCAGTTGTCAAACACAAAAGAATCAAGACGAGGCGCCGTGCGTAAAGCTCAGTCAATCGTGAAAAACTATTGTCTTTTCTTCACGAATGACTGAGCTTTATGCACGGCGTCTCGTCTTTGAATCCTTTGTGTGTGACTACTGAGTCAAAACTCACAAGTCGGCTATTCAAAGTGAATAACCCATTTTATATTTGACAGCGAAGTTTTCTWAAGCAAAGACCTTACCAAACACAAAAGAAAGCACGAGAAAATGTTGTTGGTACAATAACGCGAACAATTTGCATTTTCCTCGAGTTGCGGCAAATCCGATCCTTTATTTCCAAAAGGCACCTTAGGACTTGTGGAAATACATAGTWAGTCTCTACTCGGGAAAAATGCAAAATTTCAAGGCTACTTTAATAACGACATTTTCTTTTGCTATCTTTTGTTTTCGGTAAGTCTTTGCGCAAGAGAATCTGTTGCTAAGCTGTTGTAGGCGAAAATTGAGTATTAAAAGATTCGTCGTTTCATTAGGAAATCAATTCTCATTTTTTCAATGTTTATTTTTATATCTAAAGTAAAATGGCAATAATTAGTTCGATGCCGATATACCTACATATTCACCTGTAAAGGTTGAGATACTGGCACGAAAAATACCTGTTGGGCCCTGTTGACACAATTCTAAAAGACGAAACGTTTTGATAAGTCGTTTAACTATTGGATTGCGCTTTCGTGAAACAAACTTTTCCAAATGGAWAGTCTTTTCATTTATTAAATCAGATTTAAAATGCATATTAAGCGAAAAGAAATACAGGTGTATGTTCTACATATTTTATACTGATTTGTTACGAGCGTTTTCCTGGTTGTTGAAGCCACATGGGCAGGAATCTCCTGAGAAAAAAAGAAAAAAAAACTGGTCGCATCCATGTTGGATGAATGAACTAATCATGAGGAATGCTTTGTGATCTTAATTCAACATGGTGGTAGCTTGCAAGCCAAGAATAGCTGCAACTAAGAAGCGGTTGGGTCGAAAACGAAGACYCAGAAACACCTTTTATATGTATTATGCGCTAATTCGTTGCATTGTTCTTACTCGTTGTATTGCTCTTACTTTGTCAAATTTGGAGCAGGTTCTTGGGTTTATTTTGAGTCCCGATACTTTTACGTATTCGCTAATCAATAACAAAGTATAACCATAGGCCGCCCAACTATTGCTTGAGAGAAGGAAAAGAACGAGTGCGCAGGCTTTTATTTACGCTAGTACTGTTATCGGCGGGCGCTCAAAATGCGGGTTACCTGTGGTATTATCTCAGTGATCCCTTGCCTCGCGGGATCAAAAACTAGTCTGTGACGAGGTATGAAACACTGGTCACGTGAAGGATCGATTTGTGCACCAGCTACAGTCTCTATCCCCTCCCTATCGTTTTTTATTCGTATAGACTTCGATTCCTTTCGTAAACGGTCGCAACGCTCGAGTTTTTTCCGATGATTGACCGATAATAATGACGCTCGTCGTCGCTTCGTCGCTCGCTGCCATGAAACTTGCTTGATCTTTCACAGATTTTGCTGGTTTCCTTGTAATTTTTGTTGGAAAGCTCTTTGTCAATATTTTGGAAATTGAAGGCTTCGTGAAAAAGGTGCATATCAAAGAATTGCCCCACAAAAGTTGTCCTTCGTTTAGCAGCCATATATGGTAATCTTACCTTATTTGGGGTTGAAATCGTCTGAAACTTACAGATATTATAGCGAAAACACTTCTAAACAATCCGCCATTTTGTTTGTTTCCATATATGGCATGGATTCGCTAAAGGAAGCCCAAAACTAAAAAGCACAGGGAACCCGCACGAATGATATACAATTCATTGATATGCGACAGTGCACTGTAAGGAACAATTAGTTTAGAGAAAACATGTTATTCAAGATACTTCAGTCACCTTGAAAACAAAAGCAGATAGACATCGTCTTGGTTTTTACAGATTTTAGAGTTATTAGTATAGGCCCAAGAATCTAGCTGATGGAGTAATAAGTTTGTCATGTGTTAGTTCCCATGCTGCCCTGCGGTAGGGTATTTGTTCTTGAATAAAACATGGCGGACTTAGCCACGAGGTGTTGTATTTACTCTTCTATCTTAGCCTGATACAGGTCATTTTGGCGACGAGGATAGCTCCAAAAGAAAAAAAAAATGGCAGTGTACGGTAAAATCGAAGAATTTGACCCTACCAACGAAAAATGGATTCACTATTCGGAACGACTTTCTCAATATTTCTTGGCGAACGACGTCRAAGATRAAAACAAGAAGAGAKCCATACTCCTAAGCGTCGTTGGCGCCAAAACATACAGCCTTTTACATTCACTAGTTTCACCCAAAAAAGCCTTCAGAGCTTTCTTACAACGAGCTGTGAAAAGCTTTAGAAGACCACTGCAACCCAAAACCCTCGCCAATAGTTCAACGGTTCAAATTTTATCGCTGTGAGCGAACACCAGATCAGTCTGTTGCATCATTTGCCGCTAACTTGAGAGAAGTTAGCGAAACATGTCAGTTTGGTGTGGTTCTAGAAGAAATGCTGCGAGACCGACTCGTCATGGGGATAAACGACGACACACTACAAAAGCGACTACTTTCCGTCGACTACGATAAACTCACTTTCACAAAAGCCTTTGAAATCGCTACAAGCATTGAGCTCGCCACCTCAGGAACCAAAGATATCCAACAGCAAGTCTCTGCAACGCCTGTTTCGGAGGTCCACAAAGTGGAGACCAGAGAGTTACCCAAAACTAAGAAAGCCTGTTATCGTTGAGGCGAAAAACGCAACCAGGAACACTGCCCGTTTAAAGATAAGTCTTGTTTCTTTTGACGGTCATATAGCAACGTCAAGCCTCATCTTCTTCAAGACCAATAAATCAACTGAGTGTAGATGAAAAAGATGAGCCTGATCAAACCTACAATCTATTTACATTAAGTGGTAACAGTATGGCATGCAAAACCACTTTCTGCATTGACGGCCACCACCTGGAAATGGAAATTGACACTGGCTCAGCAATAACAWTGATAAAACACATTTAGAAAATTCTTCAAGGAAAAGAAACTTGAGAAAACCAATGCTAAACTACGCACTTACACAGGAGAAGACGTTAACGTTTTAGGGACAACACCAGTTCAAGTAAAGTAMAATGATGAGTTATTCAACCTGCCACTGATKGTTGTGGGAGGACAAGGGCCCAGTCTTCTTGGACGGGACTGGCTTGAACAACTACGCATGACTTCCTTACAAGTTAACCAAGTCACCGCRTCCACCGAATCTGTCATTCAGTTGGAATGCAAACATCCTGATCTTTGGAAATCAGACCTTGGACAAGTTAAGGGACTTAAGGYAAAAATTATTGTACCTGCGAACGCCTTACCCAAGTTCTTCAAGTCACGACCTGTTGCATAGTACTATGGAGATGCAGTTGATGAAGAGCTATAGCGGTTGGAAAGGGAGGGGGTGATCGAACCAGTACAGTTTGCAGAATGGGCAGCTCCARTTSTGSCCATWAAAAAGTCAAATGGAAAGATTCGTCTGTGTGGTGATTACAGACTCACCGTAAACTGTAACATTCATACTGACCAGTACCCTCTGCCCAGGATAGAAGATCTCTATGCCAAGTTATCAGGTGGTCAAAAGTTTACAAAACTTGACCTTAGTAATGCCTTTTTACAGGTGCCACTTGATGAAGATTCTCGAAAGTACACCACAATCAACACCCAAAGAGGTCTTTATCAGTACACAAGACTTCCCTTTCGAATATCATCATCACCTTTTTTCACCACCAATTTTGCAACGTATTGTTGACAATCTGATCCAAGGATTGTCGGGCACTGTTGGTTATCAAGATGATATCTTGGTAACTGGCAAGGACGATAAGGAGCACCTCGCTAACCTTGATGCAGTGCTTCATAGACTGTATAACGCCGGACTGAGGCTAAACAAGGATAGATCTGCCTTCTTGTCTACCGAGGTGACTTACCTGGGGTACAAGATCGACAAAAAGGGGCTACATCCAGTTAAAGAAAAAGTGCGTGCCATTCTGGATGCTCCTGCTCCCACGAGCGTTTCAGAACTTAGGAGTTATTTGGGACTCCTTAACTACTATGGAAGGTGGTGGTTAGACTTTGTGTTGATGTACAGTGGTTCGTTGTTCGGCTTTYTGTAGGGGCAGTAGGGATCAGCTACTTCCTCATACAATTGTATCCTTTGTTATAAAACTTTGTCATAAGACTTTATTGGGGGGATATGTCATTTATTGGGCCCCCTGTGTTAGTTCCCATGCTGCCCTGCGGTAGGGTATTTGTTCTTAGAATAAAATATGACGGACTTAGCCACGAGGTGTTGTATTTACTCTTCTATCTTAGCCTGATACAGGTCAAAGTTGAAAAAGAGATAAAGCTTATATCTTCAATGATAGTTTTAGCCAG